ACAGTTTACTATGTCATGTCTTTACCAAACAATTAAACCAACTCTACATTAAAGAGTCCTGTAACAAGCCCTTTAATTTTCCCATACATCTGGGAGGATATGCATTTTATACCTTATAAAACAGATAAAATATTGCCAGTAAAATAATGATTTCTTTCTTTGTTTTTTTGAGCAAAACAGAGGCCTTCTGAAGCAGGGCTCTTCACCAAATCTTAAACCATTTTTCAAACAAGAGATCATCCAGATATTTCCACTGATGGGCAATAATGAATTTTGTTGCTAAAAGTAGATAGACAATAAGTTTCTTGCTGGATAACTTTTATTCATTCTGTAAATTATGTGATATGCCAAAACCTGGTGAGAATTCAATCTTTTGTTTATTGTTATCATTTCATTAAAGACCTCCCTCCAAAATTTTAAAACTTTAATATATTTCCACCACAGATGAAATAATGTTCCTTTTTTATTATAACCCCTCTAATACCTCAAAGAGTATTTGTATAATATATGTAAGATTCTTATGCGTATTAAATGTCAACAGTGGAAAATCTTAAGATACAAATTTTCCACCGAAGCAGGTAAGAATTCCTCAGATCTCACAACTTTTTGACTACAACTGACTTTCAAACTTCTTTTGGGGTTACTTATATCTATTTCCAACAAGACTGAGTAATGTTTTGACATTTTTCCTTAGGTTGTGCAAAATATTTGATAATTAGCTTCTCAAAATTGGATGGCAGGTTTATCACCTGATTAATTCACAGGAATTAATTTACTGGAGACCAAACTAGCCACAGCACTTTATATACCCCATTCTTTGCTCTACTTCCTCCTTATTATGTATTTTTATAAAAATACCTTATTCTATATAAACACCTCTCTTCCCATAGGTTCAAGGGTCCTATCTTGATTATAAAAGCTTGGGTAAATCACCTGAGAAGTTAGCAGAGAAATACCCAGTATAAGTGTTGAGTATCTCTTCCTACACAACTGGATCACGACTTGTGTAAATTTGCAAACATATTCATTTTATAAATATCTTTTGGTAGGAAGAAAATAGAGCTTAGGTGTTTATCCAAATACAGAATATTTTCAATTTGAATCCACCACTTCATTGAGTTTTCCTGAAAAATAGAATGATATGCCCTAATTGTTCTGCTTGACAGCTCTTGTTCAGTGTTTTATTATACAGAATTCATAAATAGTGCAATAGTGATCTCTACATCCTTTGCAACTTCTCAGATTATATGCCTTAGTCTTGGGGTGATTTTTGTTGGATAATCACTCATGGGAGGGAAGAGTAAGAATGTTATTGGGTTTTCTTCATTAGTACATCATTTGCCTGACAACAGATTGAGGCCAAAGTCTTTGGCAATGGTTTTGTAGCCCTTTCCAGGCTCATGAGCATCAACAACCTTTATCAGAGGTGCACAGAGATCTCTTCTGATTAGGGAATTATTCACTTTCCCAAACTTGTATCTTGAAAAGCAGATTCCAATGTTGGCAACCTATATGTGTGGTTGTTATTATATTTTTAAGGCAAAGGTCTCAATGATTATAATCTCATTGACTGGAACATCTGAGTCAACTTACCCTTTTAAGGGAGCTGATTATCCTGAGATTCACATATTTTTCTTAACAAGACAGTGAACATTGACTCAATGTGTCCAATAAAGTTATGATACAGTACTACATATTAAAAGGACTTGGATGAAACTCTGATCACACTATATGGCAGTGTATTGCAAAATTACAGATAGTTCTAGAGGATTCACAAATGCTCTCTCATAATTGTAGCTACAGAAACAAAACAATTAGGAATTTTAAAACCTACCTCTAAAGACTCAACACACAATTCCTTTCCACTATACACAATACAAGATGCCACAGATACTGAAACTATTAAAAAATCACTTATAATCTAAACATTATACTTTCTGAAAATAGTAAAAATGCTTGTAGTTGTGCAACTGAAGAACCCTTATGTGGCCTGGCTATACATGCAAAACATAGGACACTGCTTTAGCTAAAGCATATTTATTAAATTCTGTAATCTAAAATACAATTACACAAAGAAACCATGCCTTAAAATCTAGAAGCACCTCAGTCAGACAAAGTAAAAATGCAACTGTAAGCAGTTCTTTTCTACTTCCAGCATCTGTCTCCAAGTAATTTTAGAAATCCAGACTTAATAGCGCAAGCTATCAGAACTATATACAACTATTTTAAAAAGAGTGAACAATATTTTAAAAAACCATTCTAAAAGATTAAGGAGAGAGCCACCTCTGAACAGTTAGTTCAATTTACTGTAACAAAGAATCATTGCTAATTTCTATATTTTATATTCCTAACAATTACAACATATTACTTTTTATTGTAAAAATATATTATTTATTAATATATATCTTCTAAGCATTCAAAATATTTTCCCCTGTCCAGTATATTCCTATGTACTTTTTCAAATACAAGATTAACATCTTGTTTGGAGATGCTTAATTCACATAAAACACACACACACAACCATTTTTTTTTAATAAAAATGCTTCTGTAATGTTGCTTATTTTTAATATTTATTTAGATGTTTGCAGTAATTCTAAAAATAAATTCCTAAAATTTTATATAAAATAAAGTCTATAGATACAAAAAATCAAAATACTAGATATGCATTTTCAAAAGCCAAAATAGCTGGGGATAAGTATAAGCCCCAAGACAAAACAAAGAATATTTCGCATTAAGACATATATAATGTCTTAGATAAACATATATCTAAGTAATCAAGTTACAGAAGAGCAAAATACAATTCATTACAATACATATCAACAAAAACTATTACAGATATTGGATTAACTTGATTACAGGCCCTACATTTCCAAATTCCACCTTGCAAGGTTGACAAGAACAAAAAACTTCATGTTTAGGCTGACACTGCCAGTAAACAGTAGTCATATGCCAACTACATACTATAATTTAGATTTAGTATATAATAGGAAAAATCAGAAACAACTTTTTTATTACTAAGTGGAACATTTTGATTGAAATAACTGTAGCATGCGTGGACATCTGTTTTTTTTTTAAATAGTATCACAAAGGAAAGAATATTTATTCTTCCTTGTAAGATAGAGAGATACTATGTAAGAACAACATTCACTGAAATAAACAGATATTCTTGCGGAAACATTTATATTGGCGTTATTCTCCTTCACTATGGTAAGTTAGGAACAAGAATATGAGCATTATTTATACACACTGAAAATCTTTCTCCTCCCTAGTAAATAATGAATCAATAAGATAGTCAGAGAAGTACTAGAGATTTCAAACAAGTAAAACAAGTAAAATCCAGCCATGTTTAATAATTGCAGTTTGATCGCTTCTATTCTAGAAAAGTGCTATAGCGCAGTTTATAAAAGATTTTGCAAGCTAAAGGTCCCAGATTCATAAGGCACATTATTATCACATTAATACACTACTGTAAACCCTGGATATCCACTACCAGTCCAGACAGTAAACTTGATTGATTTAGATGTACTCACAGAATCACATCTCCTTTCTCATTATTCTGAACTGTTCAACAAATCCCTATGCTTGCTTTCTGTTTGTTCCTGCATCCAGCGTATACTTCCTATCCTTATCTTCAAAATCTGTCACAGCTATGTCTTCTCATTCTTCAGCTCTTATATGCACTACATTCCTATTGTGCCTCTTATCTCTTCAGTTCAAATCTATACTTGTATTTTCCATGAAGCATCTGGCACAGCACTCTCCATTTCCTATTATACCTTAGTATGAGAAACTGAAATAAACTACTCATTCTCCACTACATCTCACTTTCTTTCCCAAAATATTCCCCACTGCATCTCACTTACTTAGCAATAAGCATTGCTAATACTTTGTAAAGCGCTTTGTAAAATGATAACATTGTCTTAACAACACATGGACCAATCAAACAGCTCTAAAAAATAATCAAATCACATATACTCATGTTCTCTAATGTCAGACCCAAATTGTATGAGCAACAGAATTTCAAACTTTTTTTTTTTAATAAAAACAGGCGGTTTCATGTAACAGGTTAACTCCTGCCCTCACCCCAGACTACAGCCAATAAAGCCAAATTGAAGCTATATTTTTTTCAGTGTTCTATGATTCTTCATCACCCATATACTGTAAAATGGGAGCCACCCAAAGTTTCCCTCACAAGTTCTTGAAACTGATGTGGCAAGCATGGCACCAAGTTAAAAAGATGTAAGTCATGGTACAGTATGCTGTAAGCTTTTTGGGAGATTCAACAGAATCCATTAAAAAAGTCAGCCACTACCAAGGTGTGTGATATCATAATAAATTAGCATTAAAATGATTCTGTGAAGGCTGGGAGGTCAAAATGGGCTTTCCTCATTGCTGATAATTAAGAGGTCACCAACTCAAACTTTGGACTTTAATTGTACACATATTTATATAATGCTATCAAACCAGAGTTTCCATAAAACTTCTCTGCTGTAGATCTGTACAATTACTCTTATGTAAGAAAACTAGCATTTTATACTAGAGAATCAAAATCCAATCTTTGTCCAATATCACATCAGTGTACATTTTCACACAAGCACTGCAAAATGTAGCAATAGTCTGACTCAACATCTGAACTTTAACTCTCAACTCTAAAAACTGATTGCCACATAAAGCTTTTTTTAAAATGTTACTTAAAAGGGACCAAAATTATCTGAAATGCAGGCGAAAAGCATTTTAATGTTTAACATTAAAAGCATTTAATGTTAAATTTAATGTTTTAAATCAGATTAAAAATGAAAGCAACTCTGAAAAGAGCTATACTATTAAGTACCGCAACTTTCATAAACAATTAAGTACAGCAACTTAACAGTTAATTGAAACAAAGTTATCTGAACAGTAAAACATAAGAAACTCTTAATTTCTTGGTTCTTAATTTGGAATAACTTTCTAATTTATTCAAGAACACAGACAAGGCTATCAGTAAAATTAAAATCACTTACATTGTCTCTCCAGTCTTGGCGACATGGCAAAGAAACTGATCCAATATTGGACAGACTTCCTTTTTCCCCCTCTTCTCAAAATCTGTAGAAATGACAGGAGAAACAGAAGGGGGAAAAAATGTAAAAGCATACCTTGTGAATTAAGTATTGTCTCAACTCCACCTCCTGCCCCACAATCTAAATAGCAACTGTTTTTCACACACACATACACTTCATTTAAGGAGCTTACAAACTTCAGAAGACACTCAAAATGAATTTGGAAGCTAATTTTTAGTTTCTTTTTCACCCTCTGCAATACCGTAAATACCTGCCTCAAGCTGACACCAAGGTGAAACACACCCATGCTCCCTGGTAATTTCTTGGGGTGGGGGTGTGAGGGGCAGGGTAGGGAAGGAAATAAGTAGCAGGAAGTGGGACAGAAGGACACCCAGACTATCATATGCGGGGAAAGTACAAGTAACCTTGGGGAAGGAACTTCAAAGGCCCTTTTAAGGGAAAAGCGAGAGCACCAGGAGAGAAATACTGGGGTGGCGATGGCCCCCGTGCCACCATCCTCACTACACATTTTGGGAAGCGCAAAGTAAGGCCCCAGAAAGCAGAGCAGCCCAGACTCTGGCGGGAACAGGAGTGGGATCCCTCAGCCGCTTCTCTCCCCCTCTCCAAGAGAATGCACTTCCTTTCCAAGCCGGGTTAGGGCCAGGCCTCCTCTTCCGCCTCCCAAGGTCGGGGGCTCGTCTCTCCCCCTTCCCCGTGACCTCGGGGTAACCCCTCCCCCTCTCCCCAATTCACCCCCAGCCGCCACCTTTCAGTGCCTCCTGTAGCCTCTCGATATCCATGATCCGCCGCCGCCGCCGCCGCCTCCTCCTCTTCCTCCTCCTGCCCCCCGGGCTCTCACAGGAAACAGGCAGCCGCGCAACGAAGGGAGCTCAGGCGCGGCCACACCACCGGGGAGAGAGAGAGGGGGAGACAGAGAGAGAGGGGGAGACAGAGAGAGAGAGAGAGACGGAGAGAGAAAGAAAGTAACAGTGAATCCCCGGCGGCCGGGCTCAGCAGCCTTCCAACATGGCGCCTAAGCCGTCGCCGTGCGCGCTCCCGACTCCTCTCGCAAGCACACCGACTCCTGCCTCTCCTGTTCCCGCCGGCACGGGGGCGCGCCCGTGGAGGAGGGCGGGACCGTCGGGGATGAGGTCACCCCCGCCCCGCGGGCGCCCGGCGGCGGGCGCGTGTCGG